ATGGTCCCAGGCAGCATGGCAGAGTGGCCCAGAGGACCAGAGCTGCTCGCTGCTCAGAGAACAGGAAGCAGAGAGAGAAGGAAGAGCCCCAGGCCCAGGCCCCTAAGGCCCACCTCTTCCAGCCAGACCCTAGGACTAACAGCAAGTCATCTCTGAACGCCACACTGCAGTTTCCTTCCAGGACCCCCATCAGTCTTTGGGTGACATCCAGATCTAAACCATAACAGTGAACGAATCATGTACAGAAAGATCTCTAAATATGCTTCTTACAATACTTGTATCATTGCACAATAGAAATCTATAATTATTTATTACATGATAAAGCTTTTCTTTGCAATAAAGTTTTTGCAACAGTGAGTCTTAAGTGTATGTAATAAATCCTGAATGTATATTGAATTTTTGTTTTTAGATGTAACGTGCAGGCTGGGGAGGTAGCTCAGTAGAATAAGCACTTGCCTGGCAAATGCAAGGTCCTGAGTTCAATCCCTGGTACCAGAAAAAAAAGTTAGATGTAACTTGCACAACTTGTCTACTTGTTTATAGACATTTACAGATCCTCAATGCTCAAATAGCTCAGCAGATAAAAGCACCTGCAAGCAGGCACAGGGCCAGGGGTTCGATCCCCAGGCCTGCCTTGCCAGCCCTGCCCCTGGGATGTGCTCAGACTGTGATTGAGACTGGATGTGGTGGCGCACACCTGTAATCCCAGCACTTTGGAGGCTGTAAACAGGAGAATCACTACGAGTCCGGTCTAGCAGTGAGACCCTGAACACCCTGTAGACCTTTCCCTAAAATACTGGAAAAAAAAAAAATCCTCAACGCTGTATCTAGATAAACAATCACAGGAAAACCAGCAAATTCCAAAAGTCTGTATAAGTTCAATATCTATTTGAAAAATTAGTAATTATTGTAAATACAAGTATAGCTGGGCATGGTGGTGCATGCCTGTGATCCTAGCACTCGAGAGGCTGAGGCAGGAAGATCATTGCAAGTTCAAGGCCAATGTGGGCTATGAAATGAGCTCAAGGCCAGCCTGAACTGCATAGCCAGACCCTATCTCAAGAAAGAGAGAGAGAGAGAGAGAGAGAGAGAGAGAGAGAGAGAGAGAGAGAGAGAACACATGAACAGGCAGGCAACAATTGAATTCCTATTACTTTCTTTAGTGAAATTTTGTATTGCTTCTAATACTGCTTTTTCTATTACCTTTTTGTATTCTTAGAAAGAGAAAAAAAGAAGACAGAAAGACAATAAAACTACCATGGTGAATTCAAGGACAGCTTGCACTATACAGTAAGACCCCCATCTCAAAAAAAAAAGAAAGAAATCTTTGCCCAGAGACAATGATTTACTCAGAGGTATATTTGCAAGTCACTTTGTGTTTAACTTATGAGGCAAGATTTGTCACTTAAGCTGGCAAGATAGCTCAGCAGTCTAAAGCACCTGCTTAGGAAACCTTAGGCAGGCACAGGGGACCGCAGTTCAATCCCTGGCACCACATACCACACCAGCCCTGCCCTCAAGGCAGGCTGAGCTGGAAAAAAAAAGAATTTAAATCTTTCTTTTTGAGACAGGGTCTCACCATGCAGTTCAGGCTGGCCTTGAGCTTACTTTGTAGCCCAGGCTGGTCTCAAACTTGCAATAATCCTCCTGCCTCAGCCTCCTGAGGGGACCCTTCACTTTAGAAAAAGAACTATCTCCATGTTTCCTATGATTTTATCTTTCACTTTGCTCTCTCATTTTTTGGGTTTCTCCTATAAGAGAAATCAAGCCATATTTAAGCTCACGTGTCCGGTTTATTTCACTTAGCATTATGTTCCCAAGGTGCACCTGTTTTCTGGTGCATGATCATTCCTGCAGTTACCATTCTTCACAGCAAAGCGGCACTCCGTTGGGAGTAAATACATTTTCTTTATCCATTCATCTGTGGGTGGACATATAGTTTGCTTCCAAGATTTAGGGTTTTTTTTGGGGGGGTACTGGGGAGGGAAGTCAGGCCCTTGCACTTGCCAGGCAAGCACTTAGGCCACCGAGCTAGCTCCCCAGCCCAAGATTTAGCTGTTGTACACTGTGCTGCTATACACATGGGAGTGCATCGATCATTCAATATTTCTTCAACTCTTTTGGAAAGAAACTTGGAATAGCTGCTCAAGTGCTGTTCTAGCTTTACTCTTTCAAAGAATCTCCATACTGATCTCCATAATAGCTGTTTTAGTATCCATCCCCACCAAAAATGCAAGTTTTTTTTTTTTTTTTTTTTTCCTTAAAGCCTCACCAGAGTTTGTTATGATTTCATGATGTTAGCAGTCTTTCTGGAGTAAAATTCAATTTGTGGTTGCTTTGGTTTGTTCTTTTTTTGTATGTATCTAGTACAGGGTCTCACTACACAGATAGGACTCGTAGTGACTGTCCTGTTTTCAACCTCCTAAGTGCTGGGATTACAGGTATGTGCCACCAGGCCCAGTCTCAATCACTGTCTCAGTGCGCCCCAGGGCAGGGCCTGCATGGCAAGTGGGGATTGAACCCTGGTCCCTTCATCTGCCTAAGCAGGTGCTTTAATCCTCTGAGCTATTTAGCCGGCCCTGGTTTGGTTTTTTGAGAGTCTTTTTATATAGTTCTGTCTGGCCTTGAAATCATTGTTACCCAGGCTGGCCTCAAACTTTCAGTGATCTTCCTGCCTGAGCGCTAGGTTTACAGGCCTGCGCCACCACACCTGCTACTCAGTGTTATTTAAATCTGTATTTGGGTAATGTAGGCCCCACTTCTTAAACATTTTACTCCCAAAGACCCTGGCTGGGGACCAAGCTTTCACCTACCACATGGACCTTTCCAGAACATTTGAGATCCAAACTATAGCACAAGAGCACAAAAAACTTAGACTTTCCTAACATGCTTGCTTTATAGAATTATAAATAAAAAGTTTCTCTGTTTATAGGTATCAGAAAACTTGCATTCATTTTCTTTTGTCCGAGTGTTTTCATGTATTTTTTTCATCTCTTCGGTAAAGCCATGTCTGTGAGGAAAACTCTTAACTGCAGTTTCAAAATCAGAATCAGTGACCCAAAGGTTGAAAGCCAATAAGGATTTTCTTGTTGACAAAAGAGGTTGACATTTTTTAGTGCTATGCACTAAGTATTTTCCCCTTCATTACTGATAGAATGCTTACTCAATACCAGCAAAACTAGAACTGAAGGGGCTGGGGAGATGGCTCAGTAGAATAAGTGCTTCCCTGGCAAGCGCAAGGGCCTGAGTTCAATCCCCTGTTCCGCAAAAAAAAAAAAAAAAAAAAACTAGAATTGGGATTTTCCGCTTCATGAGTAACAAAACAGGGCCAGGCATGGTTATTCCTACACTGTTATTCCTGTGCTTTGGGAGACTATGGCAGGAGGATCACTAGGTCAGCCTGGGCTACACAGACAGGAAGTTTGAGGGCAACTTGGACTACATACAAGACCCTTTCTCCTAAATAAATAAATAAGTAAATAAATAAATAAATAAATGCAAAGGTAGCCAGGTGTGGTGGTGCTCGGCTAAAATCCCAGCACTGAGGGGGGTTAAGGCAGAAGAATCTTAAGTTTGAACCCATGCTAGGGCATGAGGACAGAGGAGAGGAGGG